GAAGGGGCGGCGCGTGCTCTCGCGTGGGAAAAGGGGTGATGGTTGAGCAGCTACGGGCGCGGCCAAGCAGAGTGAGGGCGAGGGAGAAAACGGCATTGCTGGCATGATAGCAGGGACGCGGTGGCGGGGAAGGAGCCACGCGCGTGCTCGGTGAGAGGGAGGAGAGCAGCGGCGCTGCGAGCACACGGGCGTGGCCACTGCGATGGGAGGCGCGTGGACCGAGCGGACAGCGCCACTGGCTGTTGCGGGAAGGAAGAAAAGGGTGCTGCTTCCGGATGCAGTGAGATGGCGAAGGACAAGGCCAAGGCCATAGTTGGTGGCCTGACATTCGCGCGATACGGCTTAAAGAACACATGTCGTGAAGTACCGTGACGAGACGACTCAACCTGGCCGAACATGAAGGCAGACAGCGGAGGCAGACCGGAGCTGGAGCGTCTCCTCCACGGCAGTAGAAAAGGAAGGAGAGAGGGACAGGTCTGGCATGGCTTGGCCTCATCACTAGCACGACACGACTGTGAAAAAGACCACACAACACAGGCACCAACACGGCATGGCCACCTAGGCGTCCAAGCAGAGGCAGACAACAGAGAGGGGCCAGGCAAGGACGAGCAGAGGACGTGATGGTGCTGCAGGGATGAAGCGACTGAACTGGCAGTGAGATAGAGAAAGACAGTGGCGCAGACAACAGACGCGTCGGGGGTTCGGCCAACTTTCATTAACGCAGTGACAACGCGGACTAGCACAACGTGGCCGGCGAGGCAACCCGATTAACCTCCACCAATAATTATTTCACATAAAAGTTCATGCTTCGCACTAACCTACCGAGACAAAATATTTAAGCACTATGTAATTTAACTTGGACATTTATTTGAGTCCGCGAAACTAAGTCACACGGGATTCGCTTATCACGTCGAGTACGTTTTACATCAAAAATCCGATAAACTCATTTTTGGAAATTTTTACTTAGGCCTAAATCATGATGCTAAACAAGCTCGTAACACCAGGGGTGTTACAAAACACACACATATTCTGTGATGTAGCTGTTGAACAAATAAGGGCAGGGAATTGCTTGAATGGGACAATGTCCGGTAGAGGTTACAAGGAGACGCATCAGCAAATTTTCATGAAGACTAGCCTCAATCATTCAACCAAACAACTGAAGAACAGAATGACCCAAATGCAAGGCCCTATATAATTTATGGGTAATGCTTAACAATCATACTGCTTTAGGGCGACAACCTGATGGAACAATCATAGCACCGCTTGCCTTCTGGAAAAAGAGACAGAGGTAATTTCTCTTGGATCATTGCCATTACATATTTGTTCCTGTGGTTATGTCTTCATGACTGCTGATTTGTTCCTTACTTGTTTTGTCTCATTCTTTGTGTGTTTCAGAAAAAACCAGAATGTAAGAAGTTCATGCATGGCGTACCTACTTACGTTGACCAACTAGGTGAAATGTTCCATGGGGTGACAGTTGATGGATCCACCTCTTGCATCCCTGAACAAGAGAGTATTGATCCTGAAGAATGTGCTGATGAGGAAGGTGAAGATGCAGATGGAGAAGGCTTTGTGAACAGCCCAATGAGTTCTAACACCCACAAGAGGACAAGCAGCAGTACAAGCACAGCCACAAGTCCACCCAAGAAAAGCAAAAGTCCAATGTTGAAGATGTTTCAGGGGCTGCTTAAAGAGTTAGAAATTACCAAAAAAAGGAAGAAGAAACAATAGCTCAAATGGCAGACAAGAAGAGCCAACAGAAGGAGGAGAAGAAAAAGGATATAGCAAGATGTCTAGATTTGGCTGTGGAGTGTGGTGCGGACTATAACTCGGAGGAATACTACATGGCTACTAAACTGTTCTGTTCTGAATACAATTGACAAGTATTTTGCCAGTTCAAAAAGAATGAATACAGGTTGACGTGGTTTAAGAGATGCTGCAATGACACCAGCTGATTTGTTATTGTAACTTAGTTTATCTGCAACATCTTTTGTGTGTGGAACTTGAACTCATTTTGGCATGCTGGTTGCATGTGTGTTGAACTGGAGCTTGAACTTATGTTGCATTGTGGTTGACTGTTTGTTGCATTTCAAATTTTGTTGTTGATGGTTACATTTACATTTTCCTGCTGCTGTTGAACTCATTGTCATGCTGTTGAACTTGAATTTTCATATTGCTGGTGCTGATTACATTGTCATGGTTGTACTGATATAATTTTTGTTCATGTTGTAACAGGGGTCCGATGATGATCAAGAAGTAGTAGACTATATCTTGAAGTGCCAGAAGAAAAGGAGAAGAATTGCTATTCTTGCTAGTGCCATGATCGGTATGTACCACTTCGACTGAACAAATCTAAGTACAGGGTACCAATAGAAAGTGGGTATGAATGGGTCATGAAAACACTAGCAAATAAGAGTTCTTGCTTCAACATGTTTAGGATGAGTAGGTGTGTGTTTGACAAGCTTCACAGTTTGCTAGTTGTGTCATATGGTTTGAAGTCCACAAAGAGGATGTCATCTATGGAGGCTTTAGGGCTGTTAGACAAGCTGAAGATCGTTTTACTAGGTCATTGGAGACAGTATGTAGGAAGTTTGAAAAAGTACTGCATAGTGTGAGCAAGCTTGCAGCTGATATCATTAGGCCAGTAGACCCTGAATTTAAGAATGTGCATCCTAGGTTGCAATCTTCTCGTTTTTCTTCATTCTTTGACAATTGCATTGGAGCAATTGATGGGACACATGTCCCTGTTGTGGTACCAACTAGCAAGGTAGTCCAACATACGGGACGACATGGATATACAAGTCAGAATTTGATGGCCATATGTGACTTCGATATGAGATTTACTTTTGTCGTGGCGGGATGACCTGGCTCAGTTCATGATATGAGAGTGTTCAAAGATGCAATTGAGAAATACGGAGACAAGTTTTCACGTCCACCTCAAGGTATTGACGTGTTCTATTCTGTCTTCTTCTCTCATTTTTTCAATACTTTGCATGTCTTACATTAAAAAATACTGAATGTGTAGGCAAGTTCTATCTTGTTGACTCGGGGTACCCAAACTGACCAGGTTATCTTGCACCGTACAAGGGTACAAAGTATCATCTCCCGGAGTATCGACAAGGCCCAATGCCAAGAGGTAAAAAAGAGCATTTTAATTATACACATTCTTCACTTCGTAATGTCATCGAGCGGTCTTTTGGAGGTTTGAAGATTAAGTGGAGGATTTTGTTAGATCTACCAAGTTATAGATCTACCAAGTTATCCGATGCCAAAGGAAAGTCAAATAATTCTTGCATGCATGGCACTTTATAATTTCATTCGAGATAGTTTTTTGGGGATGCGGACTTTGATTTGGTTGATCATGATGAAAACTATGTTCCATTCACCAAGCCATCATCTTCTGAAGCAAATGTTGCTAATACACGACACGGGGACGAAGATCAAACCATGAATCAGTTCCATGATTGGATAGCTCATGGTTTGTTTAGTAGATCATAGATGTGATGGTTTTTAAGTGTATGGATAATTTTTTGAATGTATGAGTATTGTTGTGAATGTATGAGCAATTGTGATGTTTTGGGGTGAATGGGTTCTGCTCGGCCAGTAGCGCGGCCAGTAGCTGTAATATCTTCATCTCAACAGAAGTAATATTATCTTTATACAACTATATTAATGACCTTTAGTTTCTGGAATCAAACATGATCCAGACTGGGACTAAACTTTAGTCCGCGGGCTAAAGGAATCAAACATGGCCTAATAACTGATAACTCTGCTCATTCAGTCACTGTCTCTTGCCCTGCCGGTATCATTAACTCCGATTGGCCAGTGGCCACCACCTCCATGCTGGCAATGCGTGTAGCTTAGTATTAGCTAGCGTAGCGTTCAAACAAGCGAACCGGGGCACGGGAGCAGGCCGCCTCAGTCCAGACAGCCACCGTCGTCGCAATGTCACATGGCGATTTCGTACGTGCAGCCAGACGCGGGAGAGCAAGACGTGGCACTGCACCTCCGGATAAGCCATGCGACGGGCGGGACGGCGATGGCGACGCGTCTATCCCACGAGGCAGCGTCGTCGTCAACTTGGGGAGGCCCGCCCCGTCCGTCGTCCTTTTACAAGTACTTTTTCAGTTGATAAATAATAATTTTTCTCATAGCAAATTAGAAGGGCTTATCACCCCTCTCTGGGTTTCTGTCGGTGGTCTACTCAGCTCCCAGCTCTCGCGCAGTCAAGGTCGCTTTCCGGGGGGGTCAAATCCGGCAAAACCCATCGCCCATTCGCCCCGGGCCCCTGCTCAGCAGAATTCCAGATTCGCAAACAGCAACAGCGCGGGCCGGCGGCCTTCCCTTCGCCTCGCGCGTCCACTCTCTTGTTTTGCCACCTTGATCCCCCAGTGCCCACTCCCAACTTGTGCTCAGGTTCAGTTTAGTTGCAAAAAATTTTGCAAAATTTTTCAATATTTTCCATCATATCGAATCTTTGATGCATATATGAAGCATTAAATATAAATAAAAAATAAAACTAATTACATAATTTAGACGAAATCCACGAGATGATTGAACACTAATTAGACTATGATTGAACACTAATTATCAAATAACAACGAAAACTGCTACCGTGCCAATTTACCAAATTATTGGCATCTAAACAAGGCCTACAACTCGGAGCTGGTCCTTTCCTTATGACTCCCCGCCCCGCGCGCGAACCCGCACCGCCCTGTTTTCCTTCTCCCCTGCCCCGCGTTCCCACTCCGCACCCGCGCGCCGCGGCAGCTTAACGAAAGCTTGCTTTGCTGCGAGCCCTGCCCTACCACGCTGCACGGTGCCGGGGCCGCACACCCTCCATCCTGACCTGCGCTCGGCGAGCGCGTCGTTACTTGAGCGGGAGCTCGGGTTCTCGGTCGATAGCTCAGCTCAGTAGGTTGATGAGCGGCGGCGGCGACGACGTCCAGTCCGCCCAAGGCAGCCTCGCGTAGAGCGAGCGAGCCGTGTCAACGCCGGCAATGAGGGTGTACATCACGGCGACGGCGACCGCGGGCGCCGACGACGCGACGAAGCCCAAGACGGCGCAGCCACAGCCGCAGACACAGCAAGCGGCGCGGCGTGGGTGCCGCTCGGCTTCCGTCACGGGGCTCCTTGCCGGGCTGCTCCTCTTCCGCGCCGCGCTCCTCGCCATCGAGGCCGGCGCCTCCCTCTGCCCTTCCACGACCGGTAAGTGGCGGTCGTCTCTCGCTTTCATTCACACACACAGTAACTGCTGTACTTGTACAGCGTACGTGCCGTTTTCTTGACGGTGCGTACTGCGTAGTCCTGCCATGGGACTCTCTCACTCTCGTCATGGCTCCAGGGTGCCTGGACTGGCGGGCGGGGCTGGGGCGCTGGCTCTACGGCGACGGCGGCGACGCGACGGAGGTGAGTGTGAGTCCGACATTGCCGCCTCCTTGCGTTAGGCTTAGGTTAGGCTGGCGCAGCACCAAATTTGCGTTAGGTTAGGCTGGCGCAGCACCAAATTTGCGTTAGGTTAGGCTGGCGCAGCACCAAATTTGCGTTAGGCGCCGGTTTCTTGACCATTTTCTTACGTCCTGCGCTGCGCTGCGCCGCGGCGGGGGGAGGGCAAAAGCAGATGGGCGACGCCGCACGCCCGCACGCGGGCTGTGCGCGCTCACGCGGTTTTCATCTGGTTCGGCTCGGCTCGTTGGCAGGGAGCGCCTAGCCATTCACGGGAATGGGAATGTCAGGGCCGGGCGGCCAACACGTCGCGGCGATGGCGACCACGTGGTCGCCCGCGCCGTCCTGCTGACAGGTAGGCCGTGTCGGCCGTTCGGTCCGGTGTCTGGTCCGGGCGCAGTTGCAGCAGTCTTGGCGGTTGGCGACGCACTGACCGAGTGAGACTGTGCTGCTATTGAACCAATCCATTTGCATGCAGCCCAAAGCCCCAAAGTCTACCTGGATTCAGCCGTAGACTATACAATGCAAAAGTAGGCCTCACAACTCACAAGAAGCTAAACGCGCACTGTTCTTTCCGTTTGGAAAGCTAATTAGGCATGTAAAAATAGTCAAGAACTAGTCCTAGTACCACTTCTTAGTCAAGTTTATGCACACAAAAAAAAAATTGCCTAATTTGACGAGGTCCGGGCGCGATTCATGCGGATCGGATCGGGACTAATTCGTGTGACCTGCACCTGCTCTGCCGCATCGCATTATTCTGCGCGGACCCTACGAGTTGGTGGCTTTGGATCGGGCGTTGTGTCTTGAGTGTTGCCAACCGCTACGGAAACCGAAGGCAGGCAGCCCTGAGCCCTGTGACTTGCTCGCTACTCGCTAGGATTCCCCTTCTCTCTAGCTAGGACGCGCTGTGCGATCCAGCTTGGATGATGGGGGCCTTGCGTTTGGAGCTACGTGGACGGTGGATCTTGCAAGCGGTCGTGGTTTTGTGGTCCGTGAGCCATCCATGGAACCATGCATCCCCTTTTGATTTTTCTTTCTGGCAGTCTAGATCGTGCCGAATAACGTTTGTTTCCATGTACACAAGCTGCTAGTTGTAGTCCATAATACTACTTGGCCTATCAATTTTTTCTTCATCCAAAGAAATTTCTTTGATTATATATCTGTACTGGCCGTGTACTGCGTGGTACACGGATGGGATCTCACGTGTACTACTGTACGTCTGTACCTGTGGAATGGCCAGGAGTTTATGAAGGAATGGAGGCGTCACAGGGACGAAGCCACCCTGCTGGACCCTGTGGTGGTGGAAGCGGCGCCGGACTCCCTGGACGCGCTCATGGCGGAGATGGCCACCATGCTGGCGTCCTACGACCGGCGGATTGACATGGAAGCCGTGGCGATCAAGATGATGGCCATGGTACGCGGTATATAACAACCTTATCAGTTCATGTTCCGTTCCGCGCATGCATTCTCCGTTATGGCCTTTACCAATCTTCACTCAGCTTTGATAGCCTGGCATCATGCTTGCATGTTATGCCATCTTAGCTCAAGGAAGTGCTTTCAGCTTTCCACGGCGAAAACCTGCATTATGCATGGTCTGCCTTTTTGCGCATTCTCTAGTCAGCTAGACTGAAACTTATGGCATACGTGTACCGGCGTACATTACTTACCATGCATGACCATGATTACCGAATTGTCAAATACACGAACCGGCAATTGTTGAGACATGCCAGCCTGTGACCGTATGGTCTTCTTGCCCGCTGTGATTTATAAAAACTTTATTACACCTTGTTTAACTCTTGGAAACAAATACTTTTCCCCAGCTGCTGAAGATGGATCGGAGGGTAAAGTCATCAAGGATCCGGGCTGTGTTCAACCGGCACCTGGCATCGCTGGGCATCCCCAAGAGCGTGCACTGCCTCACCCTGCGGCTCGCCGAGGAGTTCGCGGCGAACTCCGCGGCGCGCTCCCCGGTGCCGCCGCCGGAGCACGCCCCGCGCCTGACCGACGCGTCGTGCCTCCACGTCGCGCTCGTGACCGACAACGTGCTTGCGGCCGCCGTCGCGGTGGCCTCCGCCGCGCGGAGCACCGCCGACCCTGCCAGGCTGGTGTTCCACGTGGTCACGGACAAGAAGAGCTACGTGCCCATGCACTCGTGGTTCGCGCTGCACCCGGTGTCGCCCGCGGTCGTCGAGGTCAGGGGCCTCCACCAGTTCGACTGGCGCGACGCCGTCGTCGTCGCCTCCGTCATGAGGACGGTCGAGGAGGTGCAAAGGAGCTCGCTGGAGTATCACCAGCGTGATGGATCGGTGGAGATGGAGCACAGACGGCTCGAAGCATCCAAACCGAGCACGTTCTCGCTCCTCAACTATCTCAAGATCCATCTCCCGGAGGTAATTAAAATGGACGGATAGATCATAGATGCATGGTCATCCTTTGATGGAACGAAGATGTGCGCCTCTGTGCTAACATTGGTCTCTGCTGGCTTGTTTGCTCGAGCAGTTCTTCCCTGAGCTTGGTAGGGTGATGCTTCTGGACGACGACGTCGTGGTACGCAAGGACTTGGCCGGGCTGTGGGAGCAGGACCTCGACGGGAACATCATCGGCGCGGTCGGCGCTCACGAAGGCAGCGGCGTCTGCGTCGACAAGACCTTTGGCGACCACCTGAATTTCTCGGATCCTGGCGTGTCCGGCCTACATAGCTCGCAATGCGCGTGGTCGTGGGGCGTCAACATCGTCGACCTCGACGCGTGGCGACGAACAAACGTTACCGAGACATACCAGTTCTGGCTACAAAAGGCAAGTTCATTGTCCTTTTTACTGAAAATGCAGCATTTATCATGCCATGGCAGTTGCCAGGAGCAATCAGTTCGTGGCAGATGGCCTCGCTGCCGGCGGCTCTGACACCTCGTTGCGTCATGTGCAGAACCGGGAGTCGGGCTTCAGGCTGTGGCAGATGGCCTCGCTGCCGCCGGCCCTGATCGCGTTCGACGGGCGCGTTCAGGCGATCGAGCCGCTGTGGAATCTGCCGTGCCTCGGTTGGCGCGTGCCGCACCCCGACCTTGTGCGGTTCTCCGCCGTTCTGCACTTCAGTGGGCCACGGAAGCCATGGCTGGAGGTCGCGTTCCCGGAGCTGCGGCAGCTGTGGCTCGCCCACTTGAACGCATCAGACAGTTTCTTACAAGGATGTGGTGTGGTCGAATGGCAGTAAACGGGGCAACAGCAGAGCATCGAGTTGGGAGGAGAAGTACAGTAATTTGGTTCAGGTCTTCTGGATCACGGATTTACCGGGGAGAGGGAAGTAGGTGTTGCCTGCAGTCTCTCCTGGCCTTCAGGCTCCACACACAATCGACATGTTCATATTCTAGTAAAAGTCAGTGTGACACTAGAACAAGGGAATATAACATTCCCACCTCCAACGTTCGCAAATAAATGAGTATACAATTTAGAACAGAATCATGGTATTTAGACCACACTCCACCATACAATAATACAAACTTAAGACACAAAATAAATGAATGAGACTCAAGCCCTTGTCCTAATCTGACTTCGCCACCCAAACTTGGTGCAGAATTCCAACATCATGGCCTCCCGTAAGCGACTGACTTCTCGAGTAAAGACAGAACACAATATATCTCGCACAAATTTGAAGCTCAACCGCCCAAGAGGTTGGGGTTGCATACAAACGCCATTTGACGTCGTGTGAAAAAATGAACCTCTAAGGCGACGCCTCAAGGGAAAAAAACAACAACGAGAGTCATTGTGTAGCCCGCCTCAAAATTTGAGGCAAGGTTTTCACCTGCAGATTAATGGAAAGGATGTTATGAAGTGTCATGACAACATCTTCAGGATGGAAAACAATGCTCTAAGGTGCCGCCGTTGTCAAGACTGGTCTCGCGTTTTCGGAGCGGCATCTTGTGCCTCGTCACCTAGGGTTGGTTCCATGAGGTCGGCCGTAGGGGTTGGATCCCGGGCCAGGGTGGCGAGGAAAGACTAGGTTGGGCCAGGATCAAATCCGCGCAGGGCTTCAACTAACAAGTCTTCCTTTGTGGTATGAAATCCTTTATAACCTGTTTATTTGTCTGCATATACCAGAATCAGACTCTGGAGAGTGGATATGCAACCTCATCGCGTTTGGTTACCTGCACGGAAGTCTAGACCTGGCTCTTCATATGCAAAAAGCACCCCACAGCCTAGCTCGTCAGATACAGATTTCATTTGCGGTTCTGGCTTGCACAGTGCAACGCAATTTTCTTAAGATATTACAAGCAAAGTAGAGACTATTAGAGTGTACACAAGTTAAATACTATAAGGTTACTTGTTTATCTATTTTTATTCTACACTGTACGATTTGATGCAGATAACCAAATACTATCTCCTTTCAGCAAGACTATACAAGGGGTTGTTTAGTTTGCAAATTTTTTGACGAAATGATACCGTAGCACTTTTGTTGTTATTTGACAATTAGTGTCAAATCATAATCTAATTAGGCTTAAAAGATTCGTCTCGTGAATTTCGTCTAAACTGTGTAATTAGTTTTATTTTTTATTTATATTTAATGCTTCATACATGCGTCCAAAGATTCGATGTGACGGAAAATCTCGAAAATTTTTACAAAATAAAGTAGAACTAAACGGTACCCAAGTAGATATAGGCAACCAAACAAAACATCTTGCACAGTTGCACCACCACCGTAGCCTATCCAGCAGTCCGGGTTCCATATGGCTCATAACCAAAAAGGAAAACGTCTACTTAACTCCCCCACCTTTCATACTTGGTCTACTTCATCCCATAACTATGAAACCGTCTGTTTTACCTCCTGAACTTTCCAAAACCGTCTAATTAATTACAGAAAAAATTGGATTTTCCAATTAATCTAAAGCTACAAAAAAAATTTGTACTAAAGCATACTGTATTATATATTCACTGTGTAGATCTACTCATGTGGAGTCTAATAAAATTAGATTTTTTATTTTATGATTTTTCTATGATTTACTATGATTTTTCAAAAATTCACCGAAAATAAATAAAAAAAAGAAAATTCAAACCCACCTAAGACACGGTAGCAAACCACCACATTCTTAATAAACCCAACAGGCAAAACCGCTGTCAAAAAACAAAATAGACGGTTTTGGAAAGTTCAAGGGGTAAAACAGACGGTTTCATAGTTTGGAGGTGAAGTAGACCATGTATGAAAGGTGGGGGCCTAAGTAGACTTTTTCCTAACCAAAACGCTGTTACAGGACGGGTTGATCCACGGGGTTTGGGCCAGCCCCAGCCCCGACTCCGGCCGTTTCCGGCCCAACGGAACAAGGCCTCACTCAATCCGACGACGCCTCTCTCTCTCTCTCTTTCTCGATTCAGTTCGTCATCGACGCAGTCGAAGGGAGTCGTCGGGGGCTAGCTGGTCGAGAGCTTGTCCGGCGGCGGCGCCCTTGGAGGCAGAGGCCAGCGGGCAGAGAGGGGATCTCGTTGGGGGAGATAGGCCTTAAGCAACGGAGGCGATACTAGTATTTAGTCGCCTACTCAAATTCTTCCTGAAATCCACCAAAGCCCTGTCTCCCCTCTACTGGTTCTGAAAGTGGAGTTCCATCCGCGCGTCGATTGATTTATTCTATTTGCTGGTAAGGAAGCCTTGGTTTGTTTTGGCCGTGTAATTCTAAGAATTAGATTCCTTTGGTTTCTCTTCAACATGCGCAATTTGTTGCCACTCATGTCTCATTTGCTGCGTGTCATGTATACAGAGTTGGCCTCCATTACCTCCATGTCGAGGCTGCGAGCTCTGTGGCAGGCTTCCTTTAACGCCACAAAGAGAGGTAGGTTCTTCCCACAAGTCAGACCTTTTTGCTGTGCCCGCTATCAAAGTCTGGTCCATTACCTTCAGGACTTGTAATGGTGCCCGTAGATGCGCCGTGCATAATCTTGGTGCTGTTGAGCTGTTAAATGATAACCATATAAGGTGTAGTCAAGGTCATGGATCTCTCCCTGTCTCGCGAGCATTGAGTACAGCGTAGCCAGGGTGTAGAATAAGAATTTTCCTAGTGATACTTTGTAATATGATGAGTATTATACATGATATGAAATTTGCAAGCATATCAGATTGTCAGCTAGATATTAATGCCAGTTTGATTCCATATGTACCAGTAGTAGGCTTGAGACGTCTTAGTAGCTGACTACCTGCTAGGCTGCTACTCATGCATTGCAGATCTGAAATAGATGTGTGGTGTGTGGAATTCATGGTGCCCCTGTAGGAATAGCATGTTTTGCTAATCTGTAAACAAGGAACTTATGGAAATTCTGCTTTTAAGTGTGCAGAATAAACTCTTCTGGAAAATACATAACCTCCTTAACTATCTTGGTCTTTATTAATTCTTTGTTCTATATGCTTAATTGTCAGCTCTTATATGGAGTTCAGATGATCTAATTCCGCCAAGTGAAAGATGTATCTTCAATTTCAACTCAAAAGATGAGCTGAAAAGGTGGCATTTGTACTCAGATTCAGAGTATGGAGGTACTGCCTCACTTTCGAATTATATACTTTTATAAAAGTTACTAATTGCTGCAGTTTCTCTAAATACTGATCTGAATCATCTGATACTATAGTATAATTTGTCCTTGTGCTTTGTGACTGATTGGCTGGGAGATACTTTGTGTTGAAAATGCTCCTGTGGTTTTGTTCTCAGAATATGTTAATAAGATGCTCTTTTGAGTTTCTGATGGTTCACAGTGGAAAAATGTATTGCAGTTCAATCTTGTCCTGGTAGTCCCCAGTATATTACTTCTAGAATCATCCTACCCCTGAGTCTTCCTAATGCAAAATCGTTTTAAAGGAAACATATTACAAACTAGTATAATACATGGAGATATAGGAGAACATACTCCATTGATTCATCGGTTCTCCCTTTGCTGCCTGCATTTTCTCCTTTCTCTGCCATAAGCATGAATTATATGTAGGGTTTATATATAACACTATTATAGCTTGCTTTCCAGATAGTGATCCAAATGGGAGTCAACCACCCCTTGTGTTTATCACCACAGGATACTTGACTGCGTAAACTGGTGCACTACTGTATTATCTTCTGCTGCTGCTAGTTTCGAAACCAGTGGATCAGATAGCTGACGAAGAGACGGTATATATTACACGGGTGAACCTTTTCTGCAGGAACAGGAAAAGCATTTAACACTTTAGTTTGTTGTGCACTCATACAGTTGTGCCTTAGAATAATATGAGTGGACTTGTGAATTCGATAGACCATATTTCCCTACAACAGATAATACCTTACATGTGTAGTAATTTCTTATATTTTTAAGGACATTTTTCAGCTTTGCTGCATATACCTAGCTTCTTGTTTACATCTATGATAGAATATAATTGGACAAAGTTGTTATCCAGGTTTGTCTTCTGCATCCTTGGAAATAACTGATGGCGCTTCAGCTGGAGATACTCCATTAACTGGTAATAATTGTTCTACATTCTTAACTTTTCCAGCTTGTGCCAATCATTTGATGTTCAGTTTGAATTGAGTGCTTTCTGGTACAAGAGAAAACAAATGATGTATCTGTAGCTTCTTTCGTTTAGTATAATAAACCTCATTAACCTTGAATTGTTTTAGTGGTTTTCTCGAGTCCAAATTATCAGTGGATACTTTAGTAATTGAATTGAAACATGCAATTTTTTTTACTTATGATTTACTTAGACTGGTTTGTAAGGTAACATGTGTATTCTTGAAGGTGTGTTTTCTGGTAATCTTTCTTTGGATATGTCCGAAGAGTCAACATGGAGGATCAGGCGCTATGGATTCTGCGGGATGCGATCAAAGAAGGTACATTTTTCTGTTTTAGGGCGACACTGGGGTACTAACTTGGTTATTACTTACGTAAATGCTTATCCCATTTTAGCAATGTTGTGCTATCCTTATATACACAAATGTTGCCACCAATGATGGTAAAATATTTCTGTGATAGCTCTTGAAAAGTGGTTGTCAAATACTCCCTCCATTTCAAATTGTAAGTCGTTTTGGTTTTTCAAGGTACATAACTTTTGTTGCATACCTAGATATACATTTTTCCTAGATACGTAGCAAAAAGCCCGAACGACTTAGAATTTGGAACGGGGGGAGTACTAACCAAATATAACAAAATAGAAGTTCTTTGAAATGCCACTGCAAATACTAAGCATACCCTATCTAGGCTTAAGAGGGTTGAACATCCTAGGGCTTTAGATCAAACTCTTTTGTTCTCTGGAGGTCAGTGAAGTCATATCAAGTGTCTTAGGATTCAGTAAATAATGCTTAAGACTACCTTATATAACTCTACAAAATAAGGAATATAGATGCTTATTAAGTAATGCTAACTGAATGTCAGCAGAAGTTATTCTGTGAAGTGTTGATTAAAAAAAAATCCTTTCTGCTGTTTCAGTTTGATGGTTTCATTGACCTTGATGCATATGATACAATAGCAATGAAGATCAAAGGAGATGGAAGATGCTACATATCTACCGTATGTTTTCCCACATAAGAGTTACTTTTGAATATTTGATGCCCATTCAGTATCGTTCTGCAGAATCTGAAATTTTAACTACAGATATACACAGAGAATTGGGTGAATTCACCCGGACAACAAGAAGACAACTCATGGCAGGCTTTTGTGTACATACCCCAGGACAGATGGCAAGTCCTGAAGGTAAATTATCATTTGCTATCATTCAAAATTCGAAATATGCATTCTTTTTATGATGAAGAACCTGTTCCCATTCCATACAGATCCCTATTGATCGATATTTACCCACATGGAGAGGAAGTGTGATCGAGGCAAAGTTGGAAATGAACCCTGCTCGAATTGTGGGGATGTCTCTCTCTGTAAACGCAGAAGGCGGTGTTCCTGGTGCCAAGACTGGGCCTGGTGATTTTAGGCTTGAGGTTGATTGGATCAAGGCGTTGAGAACACTGTGACCTCCACAAGTGGTAGTCTTATTTCACTGCTTGAGTTTCACATCGGCTTTTTCCTTCTCTTCTGTTTCATCCAGCTCCGGGGCCGCTGAAATTTTATCAGCCGACCAAAACAACAGGAGTAACCGTAGCACAGGCTGCCGACTCCTGTATGCACTTTTTGGTGTATGAAATATTTGTTTTTGTACTCGTAGCGCGGCTTCTGCAGTTCGGCACCAAGGAATAATGTATTTTGCTTTACTTTTGAGGTTTATGAATACAAAATGATCGAAAAATGAAGCATTTTTTTTTCAGTTTTCTTTGGACAGATGTTACTTTTCTCGCTAGTATCTGATCGGGCGATCTAATGATGTGCATTCCACCCTGACGATACTGCCAGAGTAGGATTCAATTTAATTATTATTTGACTGTTCAGAGTACTACTGTTTGATCATTTGAATTACTCGTAGACACGTTCACTTATGATTTCACGGAAACAACTTAGAAATGCATGCTAGAAGCCCGCGCTGTAGCAGGAGTGCAGGATCCACAATTGTTAGCCGGCTTAGATTGCACGTTTTGCTCGTGTTAAAGTGATCAGTTTAGACCTCTTTGGTCGACTAACACATTTCTCATTAAGGGTTTTTGGTTGCACTCCAATCTACGTCATTCCGTATTGGTCAGGATAGGAGGCTTCCAATCAAATGCGAAATGGTGCAGATGGAAGTGTAGCCAAGCAAGTCTTTGGTGAGAAATGTGTATACGAAATAAGTTGAATTAGAGCGCAGCTGAACCAGTCTGGTTTAAAACCTGTGACAGTAAGCAATGGAAAGTTCTACACACGCCTCATGGAAAGGAGTTGAATTACATTCAGAACCAGGATGCTAATTTGCACGTTTTCCTCGAGTTCAACCCATCAGACATTCAGACTGGATCTGTTTGATCGAAGAACACATGTTTTCCACCAAAAAGTACTTTAATCCCGTGACAGTAGGCAATGGAAAGTTCCCATGGAGGAAAGGAAACAAACAAGTAGCGAATTCAGAGCTCTCTCTTTACAAATGAAGACGCAATGTGATCATGATCATGGACCACCAGGAAAACAAACGAACAAAATAGGCAACGCCGACGACTACAAAGACAAGCGGCGAATGGAGACGACTAGTCCTGCTTGAATGTTGCATGTGCGCAAAACAGAGGACGGGTCAGCCTTGTCATCCTTCGATGAAGCCGGTCATGCGCAGCACGGAGTTGCGCAGGTGGCTGAGCTCGCGCGCGCGGCCGGGACCCGACCGCAGCGCGAACGCCGCCGCCGGCCCCTCCAACCGCCTCCGCGAGACCAGCACGTGCGGCGGCACCATCGTGCCGCTGCCGCTCCATCCACCGTCCTCGTCCTCGTGGTCTCGGCGTCGGGCCGCCGAGCTCGCCGCGGCCCTGGGAATGTCCACCGGCCGCGAGCCCGGATGGATCGTCAGCCTCTCAGGGACGCCCCGCGCAGCCGGCGTCCTGGACCGCAAGCTGCGGACCACGAGCTGCTGGCGTCGCGTCGCCGTCGTCGTGGGGCGCCTCCGGCCACAGCACCTCGGACTCGCACAGCTCCTCGGCGGCGCTCGCCATTGCGTCGTCTGGTGAGCTCCCGCTGCGCGGTTCAGGGGTCGCTCTGGAAGTTGTTGGAATGGATGCTTGGGGCTCTGGGAATGAATTCGCTTGGCTTGTTGCGGTGCGCAAAAAGGTTTCTCGTGCGGCGAACCGGAGCGGGAGGGGCGCGTATATATAGGCGCAGCGTGTTCATTCCCGGCTGCGCGAAGCTTCCCACGTGCGGCAGCAGCCGCGTCGTGAGCGCTGTGGGAGACAGAGATTTTTTTAAAAAAAAATACGGAAAAAATCGCAGTAAATTCTGCCAGGTTTGAATCAGATATTAGATCAGACACAGAAGACTCACGGGCCGGGCGGGGTCAATGAATTCTTTGATGAACGAACCGGCTGCACAAAAGAAGAGGTGACGCGTCAGACCAACGGACCTGTGTGTTTAACAAAAGTATTTAAAAAAACCAGTCACTTTAGGTGTGGGGAATTCATTATTTTTCTCGCTGGACAAGATAGTGGTAGCGTTTGTTTGGCGGTATAAAGATTAACATCAAATTACATTTGGCTGAAGATGGCTCCAACCTCCTCAGCAGCTCTGCAACTCAGATCAGATGCACCAATCCTACACGTTGGCATACTTCCAGGTAGTTCTATCGTAATCCGCGGTGTCGATGCGTTGCTGCTATCGCGCCGCAGCCGCACACACAGCCGTTGGTTTGCGTTGTAGCTTGTTGGTAAATTCGGTAATCGAACATAAGTTGGTCTCACACAAACCAACGATTTTTCATTATGAGAAAAAAAAACGAATCACCCAATCGAATTTTAGTTAGCCGTTGGTCTTCAGCTGGAAGCATACGGAATCTGGGGTGCGTATGTGCTGATCTCAGCTTACCTTTTTTTTTTTTTTCCCGTGCCTTGCGATATATCATAGAATGCTATTGTACTAGTTTGTTATGAGAGAAAAATATATTCGTTGGTTAAAAAATATACTTATAAGCTTTAAGAACATAGCGTTTATTTTTTTCCCTCACATTTCTTGTTATCACGGAATCTGTATACTAGTATACTATTTTCTCTTATATACGTATACTATAATGTGCTGTGTGATCCCAATTAGTTTTGGGAATTTCGTTAAAAAAAGATAGTAAGACTTGGGGCAGGGGTCTGCGAATGTAGTGGCGTCATCGTCATCTCCGTGCGGAGTAGTAGAGTGGGGCCTAAGCAATTACGGGATGATAATGGTCCACGTACGCACCGGCTAGACGCGTGTTTGAATTTGAACCAGCAAAATGCTGAAAACCGAAACCTGCATCTGCATGCAGCTAGCGTACGAACGGACGGAATATATGATTTATTTATTGTTTTTGAAAAAGAAGAAGAAGATGATGTAGAGTAGTTTACTCGTTATCAAGCGACACCTGGCGATCGGCATGATCTGCCCACGTATGGAAGCGCGACGCGTTCTCCGGGAAAAACGACGGGCCCATCTTGCGTTCTCGCGATGATTGGAAGGAGAAGGCGTACGACACTTGGCTGGCTGGCTGGGAGAGCGAGCAGGTGGCGATGGGATGGATGGGGGCTCACGCCTCACGCCCACATAACTTTCTTTACTGATGAAGGGTTCTTTCAAAAAGAAAACCTTTCTTGCAAAGTGAACACTCTCCGCTGGAGATTTAGAACATGACCGTGTCAGTTGCTTCGGTTGCCCAGTGACTAGTAGAACTAATAAAGAAATATAAATAAATTGCTGAAACCACATAGCTAGAAAAAACAAAGGACATCCACATCTCGATTGTATGCTGCTGATGCTGATGCTGATACTCTGATGTGTCCTATCTGTCGACGTGCAACGTAAGCCCGTTGGTTGTTGCGTTTTCTAGCTAGTAGACGAAACAATGGACGCTTCTGGTAAGTCGGTCAATGATTATTTCGCTAGTTTAGCATAGCAACAAACATGAGGCTGGGAGAATCAACAGGTGGAGGCGTGGCGCAGAACCTGAAATCTTAAGAAATACTAGTACTGTACTTTACTAGTACTTTTTATTAAGTGTACATGTAGATAGTTTTCACATCTGTGCCATTGTGGGCAAGGAACCCAAACCAGCGTGCTCACGTCCTGACCTCCTGATAGGGCGGCGGGGACTAGCCAATTGGGAGGATTCCCAGTTCCAACAGTCTCGTGTAGACACCTGTGCTAGTGTACACCTGGACAAGGGTTACTTGCAGAGGTAAATTTCTGCGTATCAACTTGGGAGAAGAAGATAATGTTATATATATATGTACGGGATAGGTATGTTGAGGTGTGAGTCACCTCATAGGTGTAAATGTTATCATCAGAAGGTTTATAACTTGAAAATTTCGATTCTTTCTGAAGATATATAGGTTCCTTCTTCAAGGACAAATTACTAGCCTATACTTTAGAGACATCTCTTTCCATTCGAGTGAAGCCAACGATGCACTAATATAAACGTCTTCAAAGTTGAACTGGGTGGAAACTGGAAAGATATTCGCCAGCTCCTTGTTTCTTCACACGAGATGAGCAAACGTAAGTTCATCTGAATTCCGAACAACTGAACCTAACTCTGCATTGCACTGCATTTTACTATCGCCGTATCACACACTGGCATCCACCGTCCTTTCCTTACTACACGACAACCTTTATCGCCCTATCACACATTGGCTTGCTGAATTTTAGCTAAAACTGGCTGAAAAGCACTGTTCTGACTGAAATGTTGTGAGAGAAAAACACTGTTCCGGCTGAAAAAAGAAGCCGAACAAGCCGGATATAGGGTAAGCCGAACGGGGCCAAAATAAACGTGGCCATTCTATCCATGCATATTATTCCAAGATCTAGCTCGGATATTTCAAAAAAAAAAAAAGCTAGCTCGTCTTTCTTTCACTTTCTGTCACGTTAATTCACACACCAGCAAAAACCTATGAACTCAACACTACTCGTTCTCCGAGTGAATTGAAACGGGAGATCGAGCATTTCCCACAAATTCCGTAGCACTACTCGCGCATCTTCCTCGCCCTGGCCCTCCCGCTGGGCACGATGAGCATCATCATCAACGCCTTGTCCCTCTTGGCCCTCCGATCGACGATGACATGCGGCGGCATGAGGACATGGCTGCCGATGACGGTGCTACCGGCACCGACGTCGCCGGCGTGGCTCGCGCTAAACTTGCTCGATCCGGCCGGTTGTGCTCCGGTGCCTCTCGCAGCAGTGGCACCGACGACCTTCTTCTGGCCGGGGATGTCGATGGGGGAAGAAGCTTTCTGTCGGACTTGCAGCTTCAACGGCGCCTGATGCTCGCTATCGTCGATGCCGTCCATGCCGATTTGAGAGAAATACAACCGGGGCGACTCCTGGAAATCTGCTGCATCTGGCCATAGGATGTCCGCTTCTTGAAACTCTTCCTCTTCCTCCTGCAGCTCGGCGTGCAGCATCTTCTTGCTGCTTGACCTTGACTTGCTCGGGATGTTTTTAAGGAGAGGATAAGAACGTATTAGTACTAGCTAGTGGAGGTATTCATGTATGTCTATGTCCTGTTCGCTTGGTTTATAAGCCGTACTTTTTTAGCCAATGAACAATATTTTTCTCTCACAACAAATCAGCCAACGGTACTTTCAGACATGGCTTATCAGCCAAACGAACAGGGCACTAATCGTTCCAGTCATTTTCCCTGTGTCGATCATATAATATAATCATCATATCGGTTGGCGATTGCCAGCAAGTTACTGCATCTGTTGCGGTCTATATTACTGTTGTTTGAGCGAGTCAAGAACCCAATAGAGGCAGGTCAGGAGCCAGGACCGCTGAATCAGCAGCAACGCGTAAATCCAATTCTAGCTTGTTTGAACCAGATGCATGGGCGAATGCACTGATGCACATGGCTGGTCTACATCAACACACTGCACACACACATAAGACTGAATGAACTCCACCTCACATTTCGTATGAATTCACAAAAGGAATACAAAACGCCTTGCCATCAATCAATTCTTTGTAACCTCAATCTCATCTCACAAAAGGAAATCAACCAATCATGGACTGACTCGAACAGTGTGATAGCATATTCAACCGTTTGGATCGGGGGATGGATGGGCGCTTGCTTGCTTGCTGGTCGCTGCATTATTATTAATTCTAAGCTAATCAGCGAGGTGGACAGGACAGCCAGAGCCAGGGCCGACGACGCGTGCCGCTGGCTGAGGCTATTGGCTAGCTCTCGATGAAGCCGGTCATCCGCAGGACGGAGTCGCGCACGCGGCGCAGGTCCCGGCCCTTGAGCGTGCGGCCCTGCCCGGAGCACACCGAGGACGCTTCCCTGCGCCGCGCCAGCAGCACGTGCGGGGGCGCCGCCGCCTCGCCGTCGTCTCCCTGATCCTCCCGGTTGTTCGTCTCCCGCCGCGCCCCCGAGGTGGCCGGGATCTCGATGGGGTCCGTGAACGGCCGGCGCTCCCGCTCGGCCTGCTGCGCCCACGCCGCCGCGTTCTGCGACATGTTTTTCTCAGCGACTTAGCTTGCAACTAGAGTAGTGCGGAAGGAAATGTGATGGTGCTCTAATGGTTTTTGCCCAAACCTCTCTCCGTCTGCCGCTCGGCGTGGGGCGAGATATATAGGGCGCGGCGAGGCGCCCGAGCTGGGACGGACGACTTCGCCCGGCGGCCACCTAGGCCTAGGCCTGCCTGCTTGCTTGCTTGCTGGCTGGCTGGCTAGGTGTCCGTCCGTCCACCTATAGCTAGCGACCGGGGTCGGTAGCCAGGTTCCGTGTGGCGCTGCGCCGCTTTGTGTGACAGATAAGTATGCGATGCGGCGATGATGGGCCTTGACGTACGAAACGGAAACGAATAATTCGGCGGTTGAGGTCGACCGATCGGCGGCTGCGATGCGCCTGCGCGCGCGGGGGCTGTCCGGCCGGCGCGCCGGTGCCGTGGGGGAGGCAGGCATCGAGGGCAAAGCCATATTCCAACGTGTTCCTTTTCCTTCCCTTCCCTTGCGGTTCAGTTCTCAGGCGCGTTCGGTTGTGTTGTGCGGCGGCGCAAGTTTGGCGATCTTCGCGTGCCAACTCGTGCTGCTTTTCCGATGTGCTTTTGCCTTTTGGACATCGTATGCTATGCTGTCATCCCTGACACCTGTTCGTGTTCTTTGTTCTGTCCCTGGCGCCAAGAAAGCGGATGGGGTCGCTTCCTGTTCCTGGTCGTCAGTTTGGTCATGACTCATGACGGAGAATATGCTCGTGTTGCTCTCCCACGTGTGTACGCGCACGTTTCCGAATGACACTGACGTCTTGCCTTGCGAACGACACTGACGTCCGGAGAAAGACAAGGGTTTGCAACTTTGCATTGCACGCGTCGCGCCAAGACTAACAGTGCCATGTTGTTCGCACACGTCTATTTGGTTTGCCACCGATCGATCAAGTCACCAGTCGGCTTCTGGTAACCTCATTGCATATATGCATCATCTCTGATCAATAAGTTGGACTCAAACTGGCGAGCGTCTGCAAGGCTTCAAAGAATCACGCACGGACAAATTGAGAGAAAAGGACAAAATTCTGATCGGCAGATTAACCAGATCGGCAGTTACCGTTGATTAGGGTCAGCTACTCAGCTCGCTAGGTTGCACGCGCGCGGCTACAATGCCAACCCTAGCATACCAAACACGCAACTTTTGTAGTGGACGTATCGATTAGGACAGGAGCCGTTTGTGCCCGTGCGCCTTTGACATCTGGCTGTGTGTGTAACGATAACGAGCTTAACGTGTATCAGCCGGTAACTCAAGCGGAATGATGAGCACGTCGGTTTCCTAGGCTGAAAAGTAAAAGCAGAAGGGCAGGGCAGCCAATGGCCCGTTCGCTTGTCTGAAAAAAGAAGCCAAAACACTGTAGCGGCTGATTGGGTGAGAGACAAATACTGTAGCGGCTGAAAGATGCACTGTAGCATGTGAGGAGAAGCAGCCGGAGCAGCCGGCTGATCTGAAATTTTCAGACCAGCCGAACGCGCCCATTGCTTTTGCTTGACTTGAGCAATAAGAGCCTAAGAGGCCTATCCGAACTGCAAGGTACTGTACCACGGTGCGGGTCAATCAACGCACAAAAAGTGCCGTGTTGGCGTGCGCCACGGATGCGGGTCATACACCTGTAACGCCCAGCGGTTTGGACAAGGGACAGGCCGAGATCGCGCATTGGAGCATCGAGCAGGCACACGCACAGCCAGGCAGCCACAGCCAATGGTGGTGGAGTACGTACTGGTGCACGCACAGGCGCATTCCCCACCGCATCTTTTTTTTTACCAGTAGCCATCGGATAAAAAAATAGGTGCTCTACACTCGTTATAGTGACCTACAGAAGCTACATATGCTTAGGAGAGAGAAGATGATCCATACTAAAAAAAAAGAAGAGAAAGAGGAAATAAAGGCGAGGTACGATGAAAAAAAAAATTTCTTTGCAAACCATAAATAGTGATTGTTTACATTGTGTAAATAGTAATCTTAATATTTTTTAATCTACATAGATCACTTTATTTGTACTATAACCACTGAGAATGTTATCATGCAATGGTGATGCCCTCAAGACAGGAGATGGAACGGTTTGGATAAGGATACGAAGCAGTCGGAGATTGTTTATAACATCATCAAGCTTAGTGGTTTATAACGTCACAAGATGCGCCAGAAATTTGTGATAACTTTCAGAAGCAGTGCTACACGTTCCAAGTAAAATAGGGCTTCTGTTTATATATAGTTCAATCAGGAATTCAGGCACATATGACAACGTACTGAACATATGACACTGACGTCTTGCCTTGAGAACGACACTGACGTCCGGAGAAAGATAAGGGTTTGCAACTTTGCATTGCACGCGTTGCGCCAAGACTAACATCATAGTAATTCTATAACCTCTAGATATAGATCAGTGGGTAAATGCATAATTTAGACAGGGAAACTTACTCCTGTACCTCGTCCTAGGGTAGTCGTGGCCATAGCGCCGCAGCGACGTAGCCGCCGGTGTCGTAGCAGTGCAGGCACGGTGCAGTGACGGCGACCGACAACGATGAGAGGTGCTGCGGTCCGGTGGTGGCACTTCTCGCCGCTTCAGCACTCCCTTGATCGGTAGGGTTAGAGCCGTAAGTGGGGATTATGGTGGACCTCATGTCTACGCCCTGGCCTCCACCGCCCTATAAATAGTGATGCGCGACGGGGGTCCACCAACCTTGGTTTGGTTGGATGCCCCTAATTAGGGCACTAGATCAGGGCCCGACTTGATCGTTGGGCCGAGTCGGATGAGATTAACACTAACAATCTTCCTCTTGATCTCACATCATACTTGAACTCAACTTTCTTTATCTTTTTTCCATTCCATCACAGATCAATGCATAGAGCGTGCTTCATTGTCATGGTCAGTTGCCATTAGATTTAACAGCTACAATGCACTTCTCTGTTTTAAAACAGATACTCAACTATGGCCTTAGTATCCAAAAATCATAGGCTTTTCCAAAACCAATATCGACTGTGCGTTCTCTGAACGCACTGGGTGGTTAGCCTTTGGTAAGCGGATCCGTAAGTACTTACTCGGTACTCATATGCTCAATACTTTCAAAATAATTCTGGATTTTCTCCTTTACAACATACTAGGTAGCGTGCCCGTGCGTTGCTACGGGATAACTAAACTTTTATACTAAAAACACACGGATCGCACGATAAGATAACAATACTGTGAAATTAAATACAGACATTAAAGTGACATTTAATCCAAGAAGCAAAGTTCATAAAATTAACACAGTTACGGAGAGCGCGGCGTCGCATGCTCACAAACTTTATTGTATAGACCTTTCCGTGATGCGGCTACGATAATATTTTATATTGGCAGGAAAAAATATCTGATATCTGTTTCTTTCGTGCGCCAATATATCCACGAACTCCATGTCATCCTATACATAGGTTCGAGTAAATATATAAATATTAGTGCCTGTCACATGGGTACTACTACGTGTCTTGAAAAATCTCTCACAAAACCTTAAAACAAAGTATGTTATACTCATCGTATAAATATGTGTTGCTTTAGATCTATTCCACGCAAACATATTCTGTAAAATAAGAAGTGAAAATTTATATAAAAAAATAAAACAAAAAATCAGATTTATTAAGATTGATGTCTTATATATTGTATAACCAAAAGTAGCTTTTAGCGTGTTTAAATTTCACAGCACCATCAGCCCTATTTTTGGGTGCACTTGGTTGAGGAGCTATGACTTCTATAAAAACTACCGCCAGCCTCTTTCAGTTACGAGCGGACCCTAAACGTACTGCCCCTCATCCAAGGTAGGACCTTCTCATTGGACACCAGATGATCAGCAGTTTCGACGCCTCTTTGGCCAGGTTGAATAGTTCACAGAGCCCAGACCACATTGATGGTGACTCCCTTTCCTTCATCTTCAACTATTGATGGTATGCC